CTCTCTCTCTCTCTCTCTCTCTCTCTCTCTCTCTCTCTCTCTTTCTCTCTCTCTCTCTCTCTCAGCTAGCCACATGGCGGACCTTTGTTCTTTTTTTTTTCTATCGGAGATGACTATGGCGGGATCTTTGTCACGTTGTTTGGCGGAGGAGGAGCGGTGTGACGGACCCGCCGGGATGGCGGTCCGTCAGGATCAAAACGAAGGGATGAGGATGGGGGAGATGGAGATGGAGATGGAGATGGAAGGGACAGCGCAGCTCCAACGCAGACTCAACACGCACGTACTCCAATGTGTGCAACTGAAGAATGAGCCACAAAACAGACTGCAGTTGGGGTATACCCCCAGCGGATTGACTGGACTGTACTGGACTAGCCTGGTACCGACAGTGGTACCGGGCAGGACTGGACTGGACTGAATAACCGCACGGCCTGTGGGGTCAGGCCACTGCCTGGTCCCACAGGCCGAACTGGCAAATAGCCAAATAGGCCCTGGCTGTGGGCCAGGGCAGATGAAGGTCCGCTGCACGATCCTCAGACCTGTAATGGATCGCAAGAGCCATAAACACGCTATCCGCAAAAGCAGTTGAACTCTGCAATAAAGAAAGCTGAGAAATTTAGGATGCGGAGCAAGCTCCATGCAGAGTCCATGCGATGCATCCTAAGCTATATAATGTCAAAAGAAAAGCAAATGTCTGGTATACATATCCTAGCTAACAACAAAAAATGAAATGTAGTATGATACACTCCTAAAGTCCTGGAGGCAGTGGCCTCAGTGCTGAAAGGAGAAGAACAATATGTCACAAGATAATGTCATATCGCTGAACCACTAAAAGTGGGATGGTCTCAGAGGGGGTGAACGCAGCCTAAGAATCGAAACTCCTAAGGGCAGTCGCACATGAAGGTGGGATAGGTCATCAGGCTCAAGGTGGGAGAGTGGTAGCGAAACAAAACCAATGACCTTAACAGATAGACCATCAAGGCGGGTAATGCTCGACAAGGGTGACACCATGCAGGGTCGACCATGAAAAGGGGGAGCCTGGAATAGGGTGGAGATATGCCTAACTGAAGGCATGCAAGGGCCGGCACTAGGGTGATGAGGGCAGTGGGTGAGGGAAACATGCACACAACTCACCGACTGGGGGAGGAAGGAGCTAGATCTGGGAGCAGGGAAGCCAAGATAACGCTACGGTCCCAATGCCTATGCGATACCAAGAGAGAGTCCAACTCAAAGAGACCCAGCTAAGTAAGAACCATCATGCGACGGATGCAAGGGAATGTACAGGGTAGGGTGGTGGCGTGAAGTAGTCATGTCCAAAGTAGCTGAAGCCGATAAGGTAGCTGAAGTCGTCGAATCGGTCGATGACGTCGATGAAGTAGCAGTCGAGTCGATGTCGAAGCAGAGACGCAAAACGCTGACATCCTGAAGAAGAGTTGATGATGGAGTACTTGATGGTGTGAGTCAGTGGGGAAAGATGGAGGATAAGAGTGTCAGTCATCGTAACGTGAAGGGCGACGATGAGTGCGCTGTAGACGGAG